TGTGCTTTTTTGGATTCATGGTAGAGGAGGATGGTTCCATCCATTTGTGGCAAATAAACTGGAGAAAAACAAACCTTACATTGAAACTCAAACAAATTTGTTCCTGTGGAATGATTATCAAAGACTCTAATGACAATAGGTGGAATGGACCACAATTTATTCTCAAAACAGAGACTGAATGGCCACAAGTAAAGATCAAGGAGGGTCCAGAGTCAGAACCCTTAAAAGGAAGGCATTCCAAGTTCCTCAAACACAGTTTTGTCTCTGACAAGGGGCTAAATATTCCAGGTGGAACTAAATCCTGTTAATTGGCCAAGTTGGTTAAGAATGAAGGAAGTGAAATCATGGATGCAAGATTTATCAGGAATTGCCATACAAAAGAGCGCTTGGTAGGCATGTTTGTCTAGGACAACCTAACATGTAACCAAATGCACTCAAGTGTGGCATGACATCAGCAGTCTATTGAGTGAATTGGCAATACTTAATCATTCCACAAATTCCATGATAAATATTCCTGTAAATCCAATTTCTTACAGTATTATCAAGTAGTTTGTGCTATTCCTAAATGCTCATGATCTCCAGCCAAAGGCTTTGACACCATCAACAAATCATTCTTTACCCAAAATGGTATCTTTTCCCTCAAAAAATCAACCCAAATTAATCTCTACAAGGCTAAGTCAAAGGACTTCTATAATTTGCTTAGCATCAAGATTCACACCGAAGATCAAACGGGCCCTAAACGTTGGAGCGAAAAACTCTCTTTGAAGAAAGACGTATGGACTAAGATCTTTAAATCACTGAAAAACATTTGTAGGGAAACTAAACTAAAAGAATTTCAATTTAAATTAATCCACAGAAAGATAGTAACTAAGAAAGAACTACAGATTTGGTAGTAAGGTGGATGATGAATGTGTATACTGCGGAGATAGAGATTCAATTGAGCACTCTTTTATCAAATGTATGTTTACCAGATTGTTTATCCAAAAGGTCTTGAACTGGTTCAACCAAGTGAATGTGTGCCAAATCTCTCTTGCCACAGAGGAGACCCTGTTTGGTATTACCGCAAGCTCCTAAGACACAACAATAATACAATAAAATGTAAAAAAAAAACAAATGGAAGAAAGAAAGAAATAGGAAAAAAAGATGATCAGGCTTTAGGTGTCACATCAATTAAGTTACTTAGGGATTTCATTGCTTTTAGGTTTCCTAATAAGTTGGGAAAATTTCAAATTCTTTAAAGTTAGTCTAATTAATGTGGTGTGGTGGTAGCTGTTTGAACTCGTCTTTTTGTCTTCCTGCTGGCAGACAGTTTATTTCCATTCTCAACTATCATTTGTAACTAAACTGGATTTTTTTAGGGTCACCTGATTCCTTTTCAAACTGTCTTAGAAGAAGAATCTTTGCTGAATCAACCATCCCAGCTGGATACAGTCTAAGAAACACTAAAAAATGTTGGAGCTCCAACGTCAACAATTGGAGGGCATTTGGGTAGATTTCCTATCCAGGAAAAGACAGTTTAGTTCCAAATTGAGGTCAAGTTGCTTGCAGATAGGACTAAGGGTCCAAATGAGTATGTTTTGGATGTAAAAATAAAATGAATTTTGCGTATGTAGCATTAAGGGAATTAGAATAAGATAAAGGGTTAGTTTACCAACTCCTGTATTTCTTTGGAAATGCTAAGGACCATGGCTTCATCTTCCAAAGAGCAAGAGAAATGAAAAAGGAAACTGACATGAGTACCTATGTGGAAATAGGAAAGAGGAGGAAGAAGCAGTGGCCAAAGTTAAAGGCAAGAGAAGGAGGTTTGTTTTATTTGGTTAGCCTAGACCAGACAAGTTATCCAGTGTGTACTAAATTTTTCAGTACCCAAAGAAAAACAGCACAGACAAAAGTGCAGTATATATATAAAGTTTGACCAGTTATAATACACAACCTACATGTAAATGAACTAAAATGACAAAAAATATCAGTGAAAAAGCTTGTTATCATTATCAGCTCCAATGCCAAGATTTCAAAACACCACATCATGAACATTTCAGGACTCCAAAGTGAGCAGTCTGGTTATCTGCAACTATCATCACTCAACCTCACAACCCCACAACTGCAGCCATGTCTTTTTAAGAGCCTTTTCTCCTTCCATCAACATCTATAAACAGAAATCGAAAAAATTCCACACTGAAAAAGTGGCAATAAAATAGCTCTTGCAAATTAGTTTTTGCTCTGAAATTCAGTCCATTTTTTAAATGACATCAAAGGATGGTTTCTACTTTCATCTTACACTTTGCTCCTAATGGAGCAATGGCACCAATTGTTTACAGGTACAAAGCTCAGATTTTTTTTTTAAAAATAAATTTCAGGAACCGTGATTATATTTGCTTTGATTGTATTGATGAGTAAGGCCATGCTGCAGGTTGTGCAGTGGCTAGGTTATGCACTCTTGTTTCTTGTATTGTCTGGTCAAGTAAGACTGTACAAACATTTTTGGTTCAATAGAAGGGAACGCTTTAGCTGCATTCTATCGATGTTGTGGTTTAAAACAAATGGTAAACACCACAGCATACACTATTGAGTTATGGATGCATGCAGGAGGTTTGCAAAGAACTCAAGAAGTTCAGGCCCTAACTTTTAGCACCTCAGACAACTCTTATACTACGTTCTTGCTTACCGAGTAAATCCTAGGAGATAACTCATGCACATAAATAAACAAAGTTCAAAACAATCAACAAAGATAAAGTTGCAACCAAAAAGAAATGTTTATCGCAGGTCACAAAGTGACTATAAAGCACACTGCAACAAGTGTAAAAAAAACAGCACCAGACAGCGAGAGGATAAACAAAGATGTTTGACTTCAGACACTATGAGAGTCTGAGAGAAAACAAGATGAGATGTTTTTCATGTGGAATTTGCCAGACAAATGAGAGTGAGAGTATTTTGAAAGTGTCCTTGTCTCAGGTGTATGCGTGTTCTCATTAAAGTAAAATTTTAAGCTATTCCTGTTAATGATGGTACCTCTATGAAACATCCTCTTGGATGTGGAGTTCCACAAGGATCTTTAGGACCCATTTTACATCCTATTTACACGTCATCACTTTCAGACATAAAATGAATATTCAGTTTGAGCTATCATTACTACATTGACGTCTCACACCCACATTTTTCCATTCAGCCAACTATACCTGGTGATAGGGATCTAGCTATGTCTAAAATAGAGTGCTGTCCGATTGAATTGAATCACTGAATGCTGGTTAATAGTCTTAAATCTAAACAGAGTCAAGACTGAACTATTGATAACCTCCACCAAAACACCTTTTAAGACCACTTCTTTGAGATATCTCAGTTGTGAAGAAACCATTCAACCCTTACAGAAAGCCAAGAATATGTAATATTTGATAGTCATTTTTGCTTCATTTATCATTTACGAATCATCAACTGCATTAGGTAGTACCTAATGCGGACCATCACTGAACTACTTGTTCGTGCATTTGAGTCCTCAAAGTTGGATCACTGCAATGCTCTATTTTATGGCCCTACCTCACTGCACATCCAGAATGCTGCTACTTGACTCAAGAAAGAATCACCATATTACACCCATTCTTTTAAATTTTCATCAGCTTTCAGTGAATCATTGCATAATTTTAAAATTTCATTCATAACCACAAGGCACTCAACAACTAGCACCATTGTACAAAGGCAATATGCTTACACCCTACGCTTTACTGGGTTAATTACATTAATCATCAAGACATCTTTTTACTCGTCATACAACTTAAAAAAATTGTGGGACATGATCCGTAGCAGCCTCAACACCGCAGAATGCTTTGCCACATGACATCAAACACAGTTTTGCATTGTCCATTTTTAGAAAAAGACTTAAAAAAGCTTTTTGTTACTACTTTTAGACTGATTCTTTTTAGAGTTTTTAAAGATTTTCAGTGGTGTTGTAAAACTCCTTTGAACTTTAGAATACTAGTGCTACATAAGACCTATTATGATTAATATTATGATTGCAGCAGAATTGCATTGCCTTAAATCGCTACCGTAGTCCTCCCTTTGGTCATTACCAGTCCCTAATTGTTAATTTTGCAAAAACACACAGAATTGCTATTTTAGCATGGTTTGAGTTGTTTTCATGAGGTTTCATCAGAAATATTTGTTGACAGGCAAGATTTAAAGCCCACCTGCAAACATGAGCAGAAGCCTTTTAAGGTACTCTGGCCAACAAGCACCCAATTATTTTGCCAGAAACTCTTCTATTCTGGAAGATGGTTTTGACTCTGACATTGAAGGATTTGAAACATGAAAAGGACAAAGCCACTTCACAAGCCAGATAAATTGGTCACAGAAATGTTAAAATTACTGAGCTTACATAAATTAGAGGATAGACGTAAAGTTCATTGGTTGAGTTTATTTTACTTAATAACTTGATTGTAGTGCCAGTACCTGATTATTTCTTACCTAGACAGTATTTAACTAGATTTTTTCATAATATTTCATTTATTCAACCAAGTTACAATCATGATTATTATCTTTATAGTTATCTTCCAAGAACAATAAGGGACGAAATACTTTACCAAGTGACATTCATGCTAGTTCAAAGTACTTATCATTTTAAGATAACTGTGCCTTGTATATCAGAAATAATTGATCGCTGTTTTATTTTCTTATTTGTATCTTGTAGATTTTTTTAATGAAATATGTTCACCACTGTAATATCCAGTCCAGTATTCCGAGATTTGCAACATAGTTCAGTTCGCACATGCGCATTAGCAACACTTTGCATTACCACGTTGTCAGCTCGAGTCGGAGAAGTTTGTTCTATTAAAGCATTGTTTATACTGAGAAGACTAGCGGTTGTTACACTGGCGACGAGGATACCACACTAGATTGAGCACAAAGAAGAAAGAAGAAAGCTAGAGAAACCAAGCCAGAGAGTTTTGAAGCCCAGCGAGAGAGGCTAACAAGACAAATACGTCAACGCTTGAATCAATCGATCGACAAACATGCCCGACACCGAAGAAGCAACCGGCGGCACCGCGCCAACAGCACCAGTACAAGTTATCACAGCGACGAGAAATCTCAAATCTCAACCATTCAACCCGGGAGATGACCCAATCGGCACAGGTAAAGCGTGGGACGACTGGCTCGAAGAAATCGAGCGCGAATTCAGATATTTCAAGATTACGGAACCCCTCGACAAGAAAGGTGCACTCATCATTTATGGCGGGAAGGAAATCGCTCGTCTGGAGAAAAGCTTACCAAACCCAACGGATGGCGGTAACGACTATGAGAAGCTGAGGAAAAAGCTGAACGACTACTTCAAACCCAAGAAGAATAAACACCACGCAAGATATGTATTCCTCAAAATGAGACCAGCACATGGCGAAACAACGAACGCGTACGCTGCGCGTTTAAGAGAGAAAGCCAACGACTGCGAATTTGAAGCAAACTGCGATGAACGAATCCTAGAACACCTCATCCAGACAACACAGAATCGTTCGCTAATCCAGAACGCTATTAATAAGAAATGGGATTTAACACAGTTCCTCACCGAAGCTGCACAAATCGAAGACACAACACTTCAAATAAGCGACATGAAAATTCCCCAAGATGTGAAGAAGGTCGTAAGACAGTCTGGAAAGTGGCATCCGCCCAAGAAAGATGGAAAAGACAAGAAAAAGCAACCATGTGGATACTGTGGACAAACAGGCACACACGAGGAAGGCAAAAACTGTCCAGCATATGGGAAGAAATGTATGAAATGCCAGAAGTTTAACCACTTTAGCTCAGTATGCAAGTTCAGAGGACCTCCCAACAGCAAGAAAAGCCATGGGCACAAACACAGTCGAAAACCACCAGAAACCTCGAGGGACAAGCACCGTGTCAAGCGAACCACAGAAGAAGATGCTGATAACTCAACAAGTTCTGATGACGAATTTTTCTGCCAAGCTGTACGTCATCTTAAGCAGGTGAAGAAAATCAAAACAGATAACGAGAGCAGAACTGTGTCAGTGAAGATAGAAGATGTTGATGTTAGAGTTGAGCCGGACAGTGGTGCAGAGGTGAATGTTATGGACGAACACCAATTCAAGGCATTGGCAAATCGATCAAGCGTAAAGCCAACACTACATCCAAGCAGAGTGAAGCTGAGTACCTTACAAAGTGAGCTTCCCGTGAAAGGAGAATTCACAGCGACCGTAAGGAACCAGACCTGCGGAGCAGTCGTAAGATTTGTTGTGGTCAGGGGTAGAATCAATTCCCCACCGCTCATCAGCAAAGACACCCTCAAAGAGCTAGGTATGCTACAGATCCGCGAAGATGGCTCTTTCGCCGAGACCAATGACCTGAGAATCCAGGAAGAGTTGCCAGACATCAAGAGTGTCAAGCAAGCTGTAATACTCAATCCCGAAATCAAAGCAATCACTGATCGATACAGCGATGTATTCAAGGGCATTGGGAAGATACGAGACATCAAGAATGGAAAAGAGTTCTATGCTAAATTCAGCATGAGACCAGAAGCTGCTCCTGTAGCCCAGAAACCAAGACCAGTCGCATATTATTTGCAAGATCCCTCAAAGAAATGGCTTGAACAGTGTGTAGAAGAGGAGATATTTGAAGAGGTGCCTGAAGGTGAACCAGTAACATGGTGCTCTCCATTAGTAGTTCAGCCAAAGCCAAAGTTCAGCAGCGTAGATAAGGAAGACCTAGAACCACACATGATTAGGGCCAGCGTGGACCTCAGGATACCCAACCAACTCATGGAGAGACACAGGATAACCCAAGGAACGGTTGTTGAGGACTTTATGTACAAGTTCCACGACTGTACCATCTTCTCCAAATTTGACACGAAGCAGGGGTACCACCAACTGCTTCTCGATCCAGAATCCAGAAAAGTCGCTACCTTCAGCACACCATGGGGGAACATGCGACCAAAACGTCTAATCTTTGGAGCAAAAACATCGCAAGGTCTCTTTGATGAAGCTATCTACCGAATTTTCGGAGACATACCAAGGTGCCTCAACCAGCGCGATGATATCCTGATAGGAGGGAAAGACATAGAAGATTGGAAGCCGTTCTGCAGAGAGCAACAGATTTTGGTGTCACTTTCAACCCTGAGAAATGCCAATTCGGAGTGGAAGAGATAGAGTTCTATGGGCACAAGTTCACGAAGAACGGATTAAAACCAAACCCAGAGAAGGTCAGAGCCGTGAAGGAAAGCAGCCCACCAGAATCGAAAGAAGCTGTGCGAAGCTTTCTTAGCATGACTGGGTATTTATCAAAGTTCATCCCCAAATACGCATCACTAACCGCACCTTTGAGACAGCTGACCCACAAAGATACGAAGTTCAAATGGGGAGCAGAAGAGAATGAAGCATTTGAGAAGCTCAAAGCAAGCATAACAAGTGAAAGCACAATGGCGTACTTCAACCCAGCCAAAGCTATTGTTGTGAGAGTTGAAGCCAGCTACCATGAAGGACTATCAGCCGGATTATTCCAGGACACAGGCAATGGCCTACAGCCAGTCCACTTCATTAGCCGCAGCATGACTGACACCGAGAAAAGATACAGTCAGACAGAGAAAGATGCCCTCTCCATACATTGGGCAAAGAACAGACTCAGCATTTACCTTCTGGGAGCGCCAAAATTCAAGATCATCACAGCTCACAAACCATTACTTCCATTGTTTAACAAGGCAGCCATGCGACTTCCATCAAGAATAGAAAAATGGGTAATGGGAATGCAAGATGTCGACTTTGAGCTAATCTATGAACCTGGAAAGGATGAAGCCGATCCACTTGACTTCCTGTCGAGACACCCTTTGCCAGAAACTGGAAAGGATACCATAGAGAGAGTGATCAAGTACACGGTGACAGCCAAACATGCTGTTGTTGTAGATCACATCAAGGAAGAAACTCTCAAAGACACCCAGCTTCAGAAACTTTCCATCAGAATACTCACTGGAGATTGGGAACAACACAAGAAGGACCCAGACATTGCACCATTTTATAGTGTACAGAATGAGTTGTACGTAGTCAATGACCTAATCTTCAGGATGAATCAGATCATTGTCCCAACAAGCCTACAGAGAAAGGTCATCAAGGCAGCACATCACCTGGGACACCTGGGAATGAAAAAAACAAAGCAGATGTTAAGAGCAAAGTATTGGTTTCCAACCATGAACAATATGGTAGAGCAGATCATCGGTCAATGTTAGGAATGTCAGGTAACCACGAAGCAGCACAGACAGGAACCCATCAAAGTCACAGACATACCAAAGAAACCCTGGGATGTCATATCTGTAGACTTCAGCGGACCCTATCCTGACGGTCATTATAACCTAGTGGCCATTGACAAGAGAACAAGATACCCTGAAGTCATGAAGACTCACTCGACAGCATTCCAGCCGACCATGGAAAAGCTCAAAACCATGTTTGCCACTCATGGGACTCCAAGACAGCTACAAAGCGATAATGGACCACCATTTAACTCCAGAGAATTTGCCGAGTTTGCCAAAACAGAGGGATTCCACCATCACCGAGTTACCCCAGAACACGCACGTGCTAACGGAGAGGCGGAAAGCTTCATGAAACTACTGAATAAGACTGAGCAGATCGCTCGTCTCAATGGGGGAAAAAGCAGTGTAGCTGTTCAAGAGATGCTGACAGGCTATCGCTCAACACCGCATCCTGCTACTGTCGTGCCACTATATGAAGCCCTAATGAACAGACAGATCAGAACCAAACTAGATCACCAAGCGAGGGAGTGCAATGAGAATCCCCGTGACACAGCCATCGATAAGCGGGATGAGAAATACAAAGATAAGATCAAACAGAATGCCGAGAACAGGAACACCAAAGAGCACAATTTCTTAGTCAAAGATCATGTCCTGTTGAAACAGAAAAAGAGAAACAAATGGTCTACCGCATTTGAACCAGCATTCTACAGAGTAACTCGAATAGACGGATCAAGCATTGCAGCAAAAAGGATCACAGATGGACGCGAAGTGTACCGTGACGCAAGCCAGTTCAAGATTGCTAACTCACTGATCCAGGAAAACACCAGCGAAGAAAATGAAGACCAGGAAGAACAAAAGAACCAAGAGGATTGGAGAGAGAAGATTCTACTGAATGCCAACCCTCACTCAGTCCAGGAGGAGACTAAGGAAAGCAGCGCAAAGGAAGCAGCTAAAACCAACACCAGTGACAAAGCGGACCATAGCAGACAACCTATGCCAGCAGCTGCGACCAGACCAAGGCGTGATCGAAAACGTCCAGAGTATTTGAAAGACCTTGTCACCTAAAGACTGTACTTTAACTGTACCTAACATGGAACAGAAAGGACTGTGCTTTAAAATAGCATGCCTAGTCTAAGTTAGGACACATGTTTTAAGTTGCGTTGTTTTTCACTTAAGGAAGAGACTATCTCGAAAGAAAAGGAGAAATGTAATATCCAGTCCAGTATTCCGAGATTTGCAACATAGTTCAGTTCGCACATGCGCATTAGCAACACTTTGCATTACCACGTTGTCAGCTCGAGTCGGAGAAGTTTGTTCTATTAAAGCATTGTTTATACTGAGAAGACTAGCGGTTGTTACAACCACTATTTTAAATTGTAATTATCATTATATATAACTTATGAGTATTTTGTCTAACTCTGTTGCTGAATTAATTATATTGTAATGTATTTATCCAATTATTAACTTGATGTGAAAGCATTGTCAATAAGTAAATGTACACGTAGATGTTTCATTTAAAACCAAAATCGACTAAACATAGCTAAAATCAGAGTAGACATCGTAGATAAGATTATCACTTCATTTCTTTTAATACTTTTGATGTACTTCTTAAAAATTAGTTCTCGAGACTTTACTTGTTTTCATTTTTGCCTTTTAATACAGTTTTAATATCTTATTTTCAGTCGCTACTACTCAATTATGAATATGCTTCCACCTAGAACTGAGAACTCTTTCCACAGCAACTTGGCAACAAATGGCAAAAGAGGGGCTACTTGTCACACAATGGTTGTGTCACCATGTGGAGGCTCCTTAACAAGGATGTAAACAGTGTAAGCCTCACAACCACATGGATAAGACTTTTCTTGAATACCAGGCATGGTTATTGCCAAGCTAAAGCCTGAATGTTAGACTAAGTGAGGATGATTTACTTCAGTAGTACCTACATGGCAAGAAACAGAATCAAAACAGATCTTTTAAATGAGATGGAGTGGCAGAGAATTTCAAAAGAAATTAACATTGGAAGTAACACATTAAAACTAGGACTGTATGTGGCAGCTTCTCATTTCAATATTGGTACAGTTGACATTCCTCCTTGCAAACATACTGAAGAGGATTACAGGCTTCAAGATCTGCTCAGTGTAGATGTTGCAAAACATAAAAGCAAGTACCAAGAGGAGATGAAAACTGATCAGAGGCCTTAGAAGAGAAAGCATGATCAAAATAAGCAGAAGTATGAATTATCACCTTCTCCATAGAGATACCTTCTCCAACTGGGCAGACACCAAAAGAGGAGTTCCACAAGGGAGCGTTTTAGGACCAATGCTTTTTAATATATTTATTAATGACTTGTTTCAGCATGTGAAATATGCAAAACTAAACGCATACGCAGACGACCATCAGATTTATTCATCTGACCTAGACCCACTTGCACTGGAAAAGTGCATTTGTCAAGAAGTTAATGTCACAAATCGGTGGTATAAAAACAATGGCATGATTGTTAACAAGAAAAAGCACCAAGCTCTAATCCTGGGAAAAACTGACCACAATTTTTGTTTCCCAGTAAATAACTCGATAGATATATTTGGAATGACAATAGATAATAAGCTTTCTTTTGATAATCATGTATCAGTCATCTGTAAGAAAATTAATAATCAAATTAACGTAATGCTTAGATTTCGGAAACTTATTAATAAGGAGACGCTATTGAAGCTTTATAAAGTCTTTATTTTGCCACATTTTTACTACTGTTCTTCTGTTTGGCATTTCTGTGGTGCGCGCAATGCCGACAAAGTAGATAGTCTAAATAAGCGCATTCTTAGGTTTATACTACAGGACTACAGCTCTCCATATGACATTTTATTGAGCAAAGTCAACTTAAAATCTTTATTCATTAGATGCCTCCAGAACTTCATGATCACGTTATATAAGAGTCTATTCTTTACGAATTATCCAGGTTATTTAAAAGATATGTTCACGGTACGGTCTTCATCTTACAATTTGCGCGGAAATCATATCATGTCCCTTCCCAACCCAAAAACAACGACATACGGTCTGCACTCTTTTTCATACTTAGCTAGCAAAATATGGAACTCTCTCCTAGACACTTACAGAACATTAAATTTTCTAGAATTCAAGCAGGAGATCCTCAGATATGAAGCTTTTCCTCAGTAGGTCTACTAGTTATGTTTCCCTCTTAGTTTTCTCTCTTAGCTTTTAGTTGTATATAGTTTATAAATAATATTGAAATTGTAAGATAGCATATTTTTATTTCATTTTAGCTTTTTTTTCCCGAAGATATTAGTTCTACAGCTACACTGAATTTCGAGCTTAAATAGAGTATATGTATGTATGTATGTATGTATGTATCACCCTAGTCATTTCTGAACAGTTTATTCATGGTAGTTCATGTATTAGGGTTGCTTTACAGACAATGTTTCTTTGTTTAATCAACCTGAGATTACTGATGAGCAGCTCTTTGAGGTCAACAACACCTTGGGGCAAATGCTTTGTTTCACCCATGTACAGTCACAGGTACACTTCATAAAATAGGCAAATGTGGCCCCTTGGCACACAGAACAGCTATTCCAGAAGTAACTCCAAGAACTAACTAAAGTGGAAATAGAGGGGTGAGAGGTAAAGCATATCAAGCTGAAGAAACTTTCAGAGAACAGCTTATGTCAGTACAAAGCAAGTGAAGATGTTTCAAAGTTAGATTACTCATGGACTGGTAGTTTCCTAAATAACCAAGGGAGGGAAGTATGACAATATTAACACCAAAAGAGGTGATGCAAAACATTGAGAAATCACTTAAAGACTCAGCTCTGACTAAGAAAGAAGGCGAAATGCTATTTTCCCTTTCAAAAGACACAATTATGTACAACTTCTACAAGTATGCTAAAGACCATTACTAGCACCTATCAGCTCCCAAACAATCTCAGCATAGGCCTAGACAGGACAGATTTGTACATAACTGGTTGTTCCCCAAGAACCACAACACTTACATGAAATCGGGTCCAGCTGACCAAGAGGAAAAAGAATGTTTTGTTTCTTATGCAAGCAACACAAAATTTTCAACATAACACCCTTCGAACAGTTTATGAGAGGATCCAGCAACATAGAGATCCTATCGAGTCTGAAATACAGGGACAAGTCTCTATATTTCATTCTAAAAAAGTGCATGAAAAGAAACTTGTCAGAGATGACCTCATATTTAAGGCATATAGCACAGTATACTGGCTTGTCAAAGAGAAAGTTTGAAATCCAAATTCCTTATTATTGGCTAATCTACCAACATTGTTTGGTTTTCACGAAATGCAGTACTCAGCACAGGGTTCCATTGGGGAAATATTTTTTTTTGGTACTGAGCAGCTCTCTTAAAGACAACTTGTTGGAGAAGGTATAGAGTGCAAATTGCTTTGGTCTTCTTACTGCTGAGGTCACATGTATCTTTCCTGAAACATAACAGAGAACATTAAAACACATTCCTTGTGGATTGAAAATGTTCTGAAAAACTACACATAGCCAATGCAAAAATCACCCTGACACTCCTCACAACTCCAAAAAATAAGCTCAGTCAAAAGGTGAAAGACTGTAGCTCTCTGGTTTCTGATTTTGCAACACTGATAACTTGTCACTTCAATGGCGTGGCTTATCACCTAAAGAAAATAAATCCACACATGATTTCACTGCACTGCTCACGCCCCAAGCTTGCACTGAAATACCATAGCAGATTTCATCAAATTTGACAATCGGTGGGCTTTGTCAAATGACCAGTTTTGTTCACCATTCCTTACCAACACCTTTCGAAAGATTCAAAAAGCCTTCAGAGCATTAAAACAATACAGCAGCCATACAGTAACACTATGACCACCATTTTCACAATAGCTGAAAGGGAAGAGATGAGAAGCAGAAGCCGTTCAAAGTCTTAACAGTTTGTTACTTTTACTTAAATTTTGTCTTCTTAGTTACTAAATTTATCTAAAATATATCTCTCGAGAAACAAACATGAAATCTCTTCAACAACAATTACATAAAGTCAATTGTTGAAAAGAAAATTCTGACAGTTCAAAATAATACTTTATGAGTTGAGGTGTATACATCTATAGAGAGAGGCTTGTGTTGCTTATTTTAAAACATGTAAAAACAACCACAGTTACTAATGTAATATATCAGACTACAGGAAAATGAAGGAAAGTACCAAAAATGTATCACTACAGTGTCTAGCAAGTTAAAAAATATAATTACCTCACATTTTCTCCAACATCATGAGTGTACCCTAACTTAAGTATCTGTGCAACTCTAATTGCCCCATGATGCACTTTATTGCATTGCAGTCTACAGAAATGTTGCTGGGTGGCTGTTGCTATTCACCATTTAGTTTGATTACATTTGATAATTCTAAATTTATTTTTAATAGAAAGAGAAAGTAAAACAGAAAGCTAACAAAAACTAGAATTAGGAGGGCCATATGAACCACCACCACAAGCTCAGCCTGTTAAAAGTTGTCAGTATGGTGAACTGCCTCACTTTGGGAAAAAATTTGGACAGGATCAGATGCATTACAGAACTGCAAGTACTCATCAATTCCAACCTCACCCTCAATACTATACGAACAACTGACTACACTTTAAAGGTTTAGTTAGTTTACATCGTTATTGAAAAATCTCAGCAACCACTATTTCCCTGAGTGCTAACCTATTTTGTTGCATCATCTAAGCAGTATAACTTTTAAGCCACTTAGTTGTCATCTTTTTTTTCTCATTTTTTATTATTTAATGCAATCAACGTAATATGCACAGTAATGTACTATGTGCATCTTGTAATTTTTTTGAGGGCTCATTTTGTGTTTGATATTTCTTTAAGTACTTTGTTCTACTTAGTATTTTAACAGGATCCTATTTAATTCAAACTTGCTGCATAACTTTTTGCACTTTACATTGGTTGGTATATTTTGTATATTTAAATCACTCTCTGCAGGCTCTCATTCATTCCACCTTGCCAGCCTTGAGAAATGCCGCTAATAAATTAATATATAAAACAAATTTCCACATTCAACCTGTACAAAT